CACTGGCGGATCCAGGCTTGCGTTTTTTTTTGGGGGGGGGGGCAACTCATGCAGGAGCCAAACCTAGGGTACCCCCAAATCCTGTTTTTCATCGGATTTAGGCCACTTATTTTTCGTCACAGCCCTGACACTATGAATATCTTTTTTTTAACTAAAAAAAAATATATAAATGGTGCATGCCTTTATATTACTTTGTAAACACTTACCATTGCTTTTGTCGACCAGTTAACCCGCTTCAAGTCAGTGCTTGGGTCCCTTTGCGGGCCGGGAGATGGTAAAACATCCCCTGTCTAACTCGGTTCCTGGGCCACGCACTGATTGAACTATGTTTCATTATCGTTTGGGGGAGGGGGCAAACGGGCCACTTTATGCCTCTGGGAAGGGGGCATGGCCCTAAATGCCCCCTCCCTGGATCCGCCAGTTTAAGAGACCATTGGAGCTGCAGTTGGGTACCTCAGACGTCAGGGTACCGCCAGAGCCCCCAATGAGGGATAAGTGAGGGATACCAAGTGCCTGCAACTGCATATTGCATAAGCCATAACGCCTTTACAAATCAATATATTATGTATCAGTGGCAGATCCAAGGGGGCCACATGGGTCATGACCCCCCTTGGTGCCCGGGGGCACCACAGGCCTGTCAGGGGCACCACCGGCCTAGCACGGGCACCATGAGCCCGCCAGGGGCACCACAGGCCTAGCAAGGGCACCACGGGCCTGTGAGGGGCCCCACAGGCTTGTCAGGGGCACCCCAGGTCTGTCAGGGATACCAGAGACCTGCCAGGGGCGCCGCCGGCCTCGCAGGGGCACCATGGGCCTGTCAGGGGCACCAGAGGCCTAGCAGGGGTACCACAGGCCTTACAGGGGCACCAACGGCCTTGCAGGGGCACCTTGGGCCTGTCAGGGGCACCACAGTCCTGTCAGGGCCCAGGGGCACCAGCGGCCTAGCAGGGGCACCACAGGCCTTCCAGGGGCACCACCGGTCTCGCAGGGGTACCACCGGCCTCGCAGGGGCACCATGGGCCTGTCAGGGGCCCCACCGGCCTCGCAGGGGCACCACCGGCCTCGCAGCAATCACAGCATCACGCAGGGGCTCCTTGGGCCTGTCGGGGGCATCACAGGCCTGTTGGGGGCACTTTAGGCTTGTCAGGGGAACCACGGTCCTGTCAGGTCCGCAGGGGCATTAGCAGCCTAGCAGGGGCACCCTAGGCCCGCCAGAGGCACCACAGGCCTGCCAGGGTCCAGGGGCACCACAGGCCTAGCAAGGGCACCACGGGCCTGTCAGGGGCACCTCAGGCTCCCGTGCCCCCCCCCCCCCCGGATCCGCCAGTGATGCCACACCACGCGAAACACCGCCAACTACCAGCTGCCGCGCCATAAACACGTGCCAACAAGTCTTTTTTTTTTGAAGGTCGACTTCGCTTGCGCAACTTTTGACTGACCCTCACTGCTACCATATTGCTTCCATATTATGCTGTGGAAAGCTTTACTTCACCAAGTGGCTAAAAACCTCCATCAAGGTATATTTTCTTAGCAATTTTTCTGACGTTTTGGGGGGGGCCAAACAGGCCACTTTAGGCCTTGGGGGGGCCATGGCCCCCGTGCCCCCCCCCTGGATCCGCCAGTGAATACTATCCTACGATATCCACCGTCAAAAAAACTTGAAAATGTGGCAAAATGTCAGTGTTATTCGCTGACGAAGTGATAAAAACACGTAGGCGCCAACGGCGCCAAAACACTCTTCGAGAAAGCCAACTTTATATCCAAATAATGACGAGTAGCAAGTCGACATTAATTTTTTTTCCTGAACACGCAATGCAGATCACTTCATGACTTCATTCATTGATGCTTTCCACTGATGTTTAGGTAAACAGCTTCCACCCAACTTCTTTTCTATGCTGAATGCTGATGCCAGCCACTGTAAGATCAAAGTGACTTGTCTTCTTCTCACGCATAACGAACTGTAACAAATATGCATACCTCGGAAGGAAAGCGACGATTTATGGGCAAAATATGAATTTTAAACGGCAGTTTTTCTGGCAAGGACATAGGCGTCGCCAGAGATTTTCGGTTGGGGGGGCAAAATCAATTTTTGTGGTAAATCTTGCCTTTCTCCAGTCGATACTCACCCGTTTTACATATCATTCGACGCGCAATGGTGCGAGGAATGCGATGGTGACAAAGTTTTCCCTCTAGCTATACCTAAGATGTATTTTTTACAAAAATATCAAAATTTGAAAAAATTTTGGAGAAAAAAAAACAACCGGTAGAATTATTGCACAGTGGCTGCGATTGCCGACCCACTCTAGAGGGCCCATGTGCAGACGCTCGTCGCTCTTGAGCATCACCCAGAAAAAAGTTAAAAACGCTCCATTTAGGCCTATTCGGATCACCTGGCTACCTTCACGCATGCAGAGGTTCTACGCGGAACGCATAGGGCTTATCCCACCCGCCGATTTTAGCTAGGTTGGGCATTCGGCGGAGAGTGAATGTCGGAAGTGTGAATCGGAAGTAATTCATCTGCCCTCCAGTGAGGAGAAGTGTTTTGTTCACACTCCCCCTTTTTCGTCTGTAGAGAAACGCTGCAAACGCGAACAAAACACGTTTACCGGAACCAAAAATTTCACACTGCATAGCGGCAAGGGACACCTTAGAGGTAGGCTTGGGATTTCCAGGCCATTTTAGGCCACTCATGGTCAATGTGAGCTCTCAGAAGCCTGCTTAGGATCCCGGAGATCGGCGTGGGTCACCCCAAACATTTACGTGTACACGTATGTGTGGGGCTTTAGAGCTTTCCGAGCCCAAGGTGGGGACCTCAGAAGCCAGTGTTGGCGGCGGGCGCTAAGAGACTAGGCCCAGGGTAAGCCTGGAGCCCTCAGATAACAGTGTGAACCCTCGGGGGTCTGTGTCGAATCCCTAGGGACCCTACTTAGGGACAGAAGAAACGTGTGTCGCGGCCTTCAAAGGCACACGTGAGTTGTGACCCCTCAGGTGCCGGCTTGAGGTCAGCAAAATCTGTCGTATCAAAAGCTCGGCTGAGCTATCAGAGGCCAGTTAAGGTTCTCAGAAATTTTGGAAGGCATCCTCAAAGATCCGTGTGACCCTTCAGAGGTCTACGCATGTAAAAGGTCCTCAAAGATCCCTGTATGGGCCCTCAAAGAATATTGGTACCAGTGGGACTATCAGAGGCTGGTTCGGACCCTCTGAAGGCTTCTTAGAGCTCAGTGGAGCTCCTTAAGAGCCTGCGTGAAAGCAAGCTCATAAGACTTGCCGCACTTGAACGGTATTGGAACCTGTCGCAGACATTTCCCAAGCCATGGCCCCGAAGAATCCGTGTCACGATTTGAACGAAAATTTTGAGTCAGCACTTAACTTACGAAAATCGGCTATAAAATGTAATAAAGAACCAACTAGGAACATGGAATGAATCACAGCATTGACATTTCCCAGTCTGGAGTCGGAGTCTTGAAGATTTTGGCGACTGCGACTCCGACTTTGGTTTGAACTGCACGCTCCAACCGAGTCTGACCTCGCAGACATTCTTAGAAAGGTACCCCCATTTTTTTCTCGACTTCAAAATCTCATCGGATCTGTATCGATCTCAGGGGGTGCCCGGTCCGAGGTTGGGGGGGCACGCTGCCCCGCTTGCCCCCCCGTGGCGACGCTAATTTAAGGAGCAGCCCGTTCTATCGGAAAAGAGCGGTGCCAATGATCCCGATCAGCGGAGTGAGCAGTCTCTCTCTCTCTCTCTCTCTCTCTCTCTCTCTCTCTCTCTCTCTCTCTCTCTCTCTCTCTCTCTCTCTCTCTCTCTCTCTCTCTCTCTCTCTCTCTCTCTCTCTCTCTCTCTCTCTCTCTCTCACTCTCTCTCTCTCTCTCTCTCTCTCTCTCTCTCTCTCTCTCTCTCTCCCCTCTCTCTCCCCCCTCTCTGAAATGGCGGCGGTTCCTGATTGAGATCTCATTCTGCCGTGATGCAGACAATCGATGGGAGCATCGTCGGTCTAATAACGGATCACCTCACACCCCCCAGTGCGCTATCCCCGGGGGTCACTGAACCCCCACCGACGAGGAGCGTCTCCAGATATTCTCAGGAGACGTAAATGACAACGTATGGGATTAGAAATTCGTAATTATCTGTAAGAAGTCGGCGGTGTCGTGGCTCGTGCATAATTATCTGACACAACTTATTGTCTGACACGCGTAATTCTCAAACGTACCTACTAGTATATTTCTCTGTTATATGGCTGCAAAGTTCACGATTCGGGTAAATGAATTCGAAGGCGCAGTAGTTGCTCTATTCGTGGAAGACCCACTGCATCGTAGCAGGTTTGATATAAGTTGCGATGCGTCTCATATCTGAAGCTTATATTGTTCTGCCGAAGAACTGATAAATAAAAATACTCGTAACCTATTTCTCGGGCTTATTTCTTTACGCATGTCTGCAGTGCGTTTCTGCTATGTTCTCCGCTTGGAGCTGAAGTTTTCAGCAATGTTCTATGAATTGTTTAGAAGCATCACGTAAACTGAGATAACGTATATCCTGTTTCCAATCTAACTAGCGATGTAAGTACGATTCGTCATTCATGTCACCAACGCCCTTTGTAAATTTTGAGTTGGCAATAGCAATAAGCTAATCGGCACAGGCGACAATGCGACATGGCAATTGACCTATTGACAGACACGCCGATTCGGTGTGTGGTTTTCCCGCGCGGGTCACGGCGGGGTTATGACACGTGCGCCGCTGCTGGGGCGACAATGCCGAGATCCGGCGTCACTTCCGGCGCTCTGTGACGCGGCGTGACGCGGTGCCATCGGTGTCGTGACACGGCGACGGCCCGCCCCGGCGGACCCCGCACCCGCTCAGCGACACACACACAAACACGCACTGACTGACGAACAGAGCTGGAAACTCCTGTCGTCGTATTGTCCGACACAGGCAGGGCCACAAAGACCTGGGCTATCATCACAGCCGGGACTGGCGCAAATGGGCCGCTCGTGTATAAAACGAGTGCCGGGAGGTCGGAGCAGCAGTAAACGGCTGGCTTTGGAGACCGCAGTACAAGTATCCGCTGCACTACCGTCAGCATCACCAACCTCGGCATCAGGGGCGCCACTCGTGCAGCCATGACCCTTCTGTGGCTGTTGTGTCTGGTGGGAGCCGTCGCCGGCGGCGTGCCCCCCTCGGACAGGGCCAACTCGCCTTGCGAGCCCGGCTCCGTGTGGACGGCCGACGACGGCTGCAACACCTGCTTCTGCCTGCAGAACGGCGTGGCCGGCTGCACCTACATAGATTGCTCGGCCAGGAACCCGCCGGCCGATACCAGGGCCGCCGGGGTCCGCGGCGGAGAGGCCGGCCTCAAGCCCATGCCGCTGCCGGAGCCCGATGAGGTGGTCAAGTCGTTCACCTTCTACGGAGAGGAGGCCCAGGAGCCGGTGCCGCTACCGCTGCCGGAGCCGCAGCCCCGGGGCCCGGTGGCGCCCAGCGGCGACTGGCAGAAGCCGTACCCGAAGCCGACGGAGGAGCGGTCGGACGTGAACTGCACCGCCGGAGAGGAGTGGCAGGAGGAGTGCAACACGTGCCACTGTCTCGGGAACGGCATGGCCGCCTGCACCAAGGTCAGCTGCTCGTCCGAGGGCCGCGCGCTGGCCACGGCCGTCCGGGGCCGCTGCGAGCCGGGCGTCACCTGGAGCGACGCCTGCAACGTGTGCCACTGCGTCGACGCCAGCCAGGTGATCTGCAGCTACCGGAGCTGCGCCGGCGCCGCCAGCCGCCGCCGCCGGCAGGCCGACTGCACGCCCGGCACATCGCGCCAAGTCCAGTGCAACACGTGCCTGTGCCTGCCGAACGGCCGCGAGGCGTGCACGCGCCGCTTCTGTCTGCCGGAGAGCGCGCCGCCGGCCGGCAGTTTCTCGGACACCGGCCGGGCCGCCGACGGGGCCGACGACACCAAATGTCCGCAGCAGTGTCCGGCCGACTGCGGGAGCTTCCGCGCCGAGAACGGCTGTCTGCGCTGCCAGTGCGACCACGGCGCCTTCCCGGGAGTGCTGCCCGTGCCGGACGCAGAGCGCGCCGGCGCACAGGCGCGCCGCGACCCGCTGGACCACCCCGTGGACCCCGGCTTCGAGGTCCACCAGGTGCCGACCGAGCGGCGCTGGTACGGGTTCGATATGGATAACGTCGACCACGGCTTCGAGGCCCAGCCCGGCTGGATGCTGGGCGGAAGGTAAAGGGCTGCCTACGAGCAAAGGACTACAACAGGCGTCTGATGGACAACGAACGGCAGTCGGACATGAGATGTGACCAGATGGCGTCTGGAATTTCAGAGGCTCAGCAGGACAGCAGGGATGCTTGTCCGTGGGGTCTTTGCTTTCAGGGTGTCTGTGGAAAATGCACCAGCTCTCCAATGTTATGTAATTTATGTTTGACGCTAATTCTAATGTCTACAATTGTACCCGTTTCTTCTATACTAAAGCACCATAAAATGGTACTTCGGTGAACAATAAATCCAGGCATATCGCACGCAAATTTCAACAGTATTCTGACAAATAACTTATAATTGGAAGGAGCAGGAACCGGAAATAAATTTATTGCACTTCCTCACCTCTCACCTCACCTCTCATCCCCTCCCCCCCCCCTAATGTTCGCTTAGTACGAGCCAGTAGGAGTTAAGAAATTTGATAAAGTCCAACAACCGATCCCTCAGCATATCAGCAATATATAGGGCCATCGTCGTCACTCACCCCACCCAGCCCTCCACCAGTCGCAGAACACGTTACCGCTCTGTCAAAATAAGCATTTTTTTTTGTTTATTTAGTAATTGGTCGAATCTAAGTGATTCGGCACTGCGTGGCATAGGTACTGATATGTATGATGACTTCCTCGGCCGGGCGGCCGGGGCCGTCGCAGCTCACCCCATCTGACAGCTGGCGGCGTCCGATTAGCATAGGTCGACGCTCTGATTGAGCACGCCGCCGCCACCGACCGGGTCTGGAGCCGCCAGCTGCCGGCCTTCCGCGGTCAGTCCGCAGAACGACCTCATCACACCGTCCGCGAGCCGGCCCCTCATGCAGTGCAGCTGCTGATTACGGAGATGATGGAGCTGTCGGATTAATCGCCCCATTAATATTGCCTTATTAATAAATCTGGATAAAGAATTCCATTCCCGCCTCGGTAAAACGCTAAGCTTCTCTTTTCTCTATTTTCTCCAAATTTATTGGCTTGCTCTCATTTAGCACGGCAATAGTTTCCATTTCTTTTCATATTTTTACGTGGCTGGATTTTTCATGATCCAGTTTCACGGTTGGGAGCTAACAGTACCGATAGCATCAGACCGGAATATCAGTTTCGAATCGAAACGACACGCGACAACACCATCAGTCTGGACGTCGTTGCCCATCTGACGGCGACGCCAGAGAGACGATCGCGCCGCGCCGCCGCCGCTGGGACGGTCTCCGTGTCTGTAGTGTTGTTCGATTGGCCTGTGGGCTGACGGTGGCTGCGCCTCGGACAGGTGCCTGTGTCGGGCAGCCCGCAGCGGTCAGCCTGCCATCCCCGGCGCGGCGAGAGAGCAGACTCTGAGGACTGAGAGGGCCGCAAAACGGAAATGGTCACTAGCGCGCTATCCATACATAACTGTTGACTGTCGGCCCGTCGGAGGAATGATAAGTAGATTTAACAAACGTCATATATTTAAATTATCGGGCAGTGGATGCATAAGTGAATAAATGAATGAAACGCAAGTTACATCACAACAGACAATCTTTTTATCTTTTTATCGAAAGGGCGGAGCTGATCAGCTCAACGCTTCATTGCGAAGTGCATTGTCATGGGTAGATTACTGGATAGATCTACCTATCCTAGGTAGGATATGTAGATATATAGGTAAATGTGTATAAATACGAACTGCATAGATGGGGTGCAAGCGAGCATATTGTTTTAACAGCGACTGTTCACCATGGCATACTTGTTGCAGCTAAGGAGTAATTTCTCACGGCTGGATTGCCGTGGCCGCCGTCCACCGGTGCTGCCGTCGGAGCGAGGTCAGCTCGGTATAGAGCCTGGACCACGGCTCCTCAGTCGATCCCCACCCAGCACCCCACAGCGATCGGGCCGCGAGCAGCGGCTAAAGTTGCGCACCGCGCGACACTGATGATGGGCCCTAATCAGCAGAGTGAGGCATCGTTAATCACATTAGTGAATTTTGCGTCAAAGTGTTGGACAGAGCGTATTAGCGGGACGTGATAAATGGTGGGAGGGGGAGCCCGGAGCGGCGCACCGGCCCGCTGACGCACAGGTGCGCCGAATAGAGCCGCCGAACTATGGTGGGAGGGGGAGCCCGGAGCGGCGCACCGGCCCGCTGACGCACAGGTGCGCCGAATAGAGCCGCCGAACTATGGTGGGAGGGGGAGCCCGGAGCGGCGCACCGGCCCGCTGACGCACAGGTGCGCCGAATAGAGCCGCCGAACTATGGTGGGAGGGGGAGCCCGGAGCGGCGCACCGGTCCCGCTGACGCACAGGTGCGCCGAATAGAGCCGCCGAACTATGGTGGGAGGGGGAGCCCGGAGCGTCGCACCGGCCCGCTGACGCACAGGTGCGCCGAATAGAGCCGCCGAACTATGGTGGGAGGGGGAGCCCGGAGCGGCGCACCGGCCCGCTGACGCACAGGTGCGCCGAATAGAGCCGCCGAACTATGGTGGGAGGGGGAGCCCGGAGCGGCGCACCGGTCCCGCTGACGCACAGGTGCGCCGAATAGAGCCGCCGAACTATGGTGGGAGGGGGAGCCCGGAGCGTCGCACCGGCCCGCTGACGCACAGGTGCGCCGAATAGAGCCGCCGAACTATGGTGGGAGGGGGAGCCCGGAGCGTCGCACCGGCCCGCTGACGCACAGGTGCGCCGAATAGAGCCGCCGAACTATGGTGGGAGGGGGAGCCCGGAGCGTCGCACCGGCCCGCTGACGCACAGGTGCGCCGAATAGAGCCGCCGAACTATGGTGGGAGGGGGAGCCCGGAGCGTCGCACCGGCCCGCTGACGCACAGGTGCGCCGAATAGAGCCGCCGAACTATGGTGGGAGGGGGAGCCCGGAGCGTCGCACCGGCCCGCTGACGCACAGGTGCGCCGAATAGAGCCGCCGAACTATGGTGGGAGGGGGAGCCCGGAGCGGCGCACCGGCCCGCTGACGCACAGGTGCGCCGAATAGAGCCGCCGAACTATGGTGGGAGGGGGAGCCCGGAGCGGCGCACCGGCCCGCTGACGCACAGGTGCGCCGAATAGAGCCGCCGAACTTTGTCCGCAGTCCCTCCGTCGGAGAGCGGGGGCATTGGGCGACACTGACGCGCCACGTCTCCTCACCCACCTGAGAGGCCCAGAGGTCCAGCGACAGGAAACTGCCAGCGAACGGATCTCTGAGTTTCGGGCCCTCGACTTTTCAAGGGATCTCTGTTTGCTCGCAACATGTAAGTGGAACATGGAAAGACTAAGATGTGGTTGAGCTAATTCCGATAAATTCATAAATGTTAGTATAATTTCGGTGTCAATAAAACTAGATTTAATTTCAAGTACAATGAACATAATGTTTCTCTAAGGTCAATTTTAATACGATGAGACAACCATTTTTTAGTTATACATTTTACTTATTTATTTCGCATCACCGTCACCGTCAACGTTAGGGCTCGTCAACCCGTTGATAGGCGAAGCAGCAATGATTTTTCCTCCGTGTATATTGAAATGAAATACGTATAAGAAGGTATATTCCAGTGCATCGCTCTCGAAGCGTTGAAGCCGGCGTCACCAGTGCATGTACTGGTCACGCTACACTATGCAGTGTAGCGGAGACATCACCGGCCGGCATGATCAGCTGGGCCGCCGGCGTCACCGGCGTCATCTGCCGGGCCGTCGGCGTCACATGGCGTCATCAGCCGGGCCACCGCGGCGTCATCGGGTGCCGTCATCGGGTTCCAACGCCTGACTTCACCGGCACCCCAGTGTCGCCAGTGTCGGCGCTGACACCGAGAGTCGAGTGTCGGCACTGACACCGAGAGTCGAGTGTCGGCGCTGACACCGAGTGTCGAGTGTCGGCGCTGACACCGAGAGTCGACGCTGACACTGAGTGTCGAGTGTCACTGTCGGCGCTGACACCGAGAGTCGAGTGTCGGCGCTGGCACTGAGAGTCGAGTGTCGGCGCTGACACCGAGTGTCGAGTGTCGGCGCTGACACTGAGTGTCGAGTGTCGGCGCTGGCACTGAGAGTCGAGTGTCGGCGCTGACACCGAGTGTCGAGTGTCGGCGCTGACACTGAGTGTCGAGTGTCGGCGCTGACACCGAGTGTCGAGTGTCGGCGCTGACACCGAGAGTCGAGTGTCGACGCTGACAATAACTGTCGTGGCGGCCGATGAGCGATGCCGGGCGGCGGCCGGTGTCGCCGGCTGATATTGGCTCTCAGCGGAGCGCGCCGCCCGCTCCCAAATCGATGGCACTTTGATGGAAGCCGGTGTAATGAAATTCCGTTCGTGTGACCCGCCGGTTCTGTGAGCGGCCCCCAGCAGGGGTGAGGGCCGCGAACGGGTGCAGTCGAGGATCGGAGATAGCTCGGCCGGCCGTCGGCTCCCCAGCGCCATTGTTCCTATGATAAAAAAAAATGCTCCGGCCGAGATTGTTTCACTCGTTTGAAGTTAGTGGCACGGTGGTCTTAAATTAATTTCTATGAGGAAGGGAGCAGCGTAGTATGCTTGTTATATTGAGATGTGTAACGGCAACAGCGGCACCAGGTCGCAACTCCCAACCCTAAACTGAAAATGAATTACTTGTAAGTTTATTGAAAGCATACCTATCACTTATGGACATGGACAAGCGCAATGTTAATGCGCGGATACCTATATATCTGATAGTGAATACTTAATATATTCAACGCTGTTATAACAATCAAAGGGTCCCATATTGCTAAAACCATAGATAACATGAATCTTAAAAAAAAAATTTGTCTATGCTAAAACACATCTAGGAAGACAACTGACGGTTGGTTTGTAAACGATGCAAAAAAAATCATCATTCGACATATAAAGATATCCACCTTCACGTGTTTGCAGGATCTGAGCTAGTACGTATCGTCCTTCTCCCGAATGTGTAAGTCGACGACACATTTGTCGTGATGAGTCGGCCGGGGACGTGATAGTCACGACACTCGGCAATAGGCATGTGTCGTTCGCAGGAGTGTAGGCACTGGGCTGAAGGCACGTGGCATCACGGCTGTCATTCAGGAAGTGGGGGCAGTGGGCAGCGAGCACGTGATTCGCCTGTCCACGGGCGCAGTCGGCGCCGCCGCGCCGTCACTTCATTACCAATAACTCATCTTGGTCGGCAATTTTCCATATGGCTGGGCGCGAGCGGCGGTCGGAAGGCCTTAGCGGCGAAATGAGCTGTCGGGAGGGCCATCCCAGCGACCGGACGGCCCTGCGTGCACATCTCGGTGGCTCTGAGGGGGGGGGGGGGGGCACTGCGGCCACGTTGCGCCGCACGCTCCCAGGATCTGCC